CATTAGTGTCAGAGTGAGGCTTCCAACCCCATAAAAGGTGTAAGAGCATAAAGACAGAACATTCAGGTTCTTTACATTTCTTCAGCTTTTTTGCCAGCACTCTCTTCTTAAGGGCCCTTAGCTAGAAGGAAATGAAAGAAATGAGTTGCACAGCCAAATTAGGATGGGAGATTTGAGCCAATGGAGACAGTGGACAGCCTGGGATAATGAGCTCAGGGAGGCCGGCTTGCAGACGCACACAGTAAGCGTACGCAGCGTTCGTTTTCCTGAAGCCTGTCTTGTGAGGCTGCAGTCCCACAGCAAATGCCTCTGGTGCTGCCTCAGCCTCCATGATGCAACAGAGTTCTGAGGAAGGGGAGAAAATAGCGAAAGGGACTCTCCCTAGGGTCCCATTTTCTCCATTAATCTTAGCTCCTGGGACTGAAGAAGTAGAGGGGTACCAGGGAGCAGTGAGTGCCACAGAGTTTTATGGAGTGGTTAAGAATCCTGTGGCAAGGTGAAAAAGGCATGGAGTTGGTGCTAGATCTCAGATCTAATTCTCATACTGATGCGAGTGCTGTAGAAAGATGAGGAAGAGATCCCTTATCTGCCTAACTACCTGGAGATCTTTTAGAAGGAGTTCTTGTACGTTGCATATGTGTTTTATAATTGACACACAACATATTATTTTCACATGTACAATGATTTGATAGTTGTATATATTGCTAAATGAGCACCACTAGTATAAGTCTAGTTAATATCCATCACCATATACATAGGATCTACTCTCTTAGCGACTTTCAAATATCAATACAGTTTTATCAGGTATGGTCACCACACTGTATACTTTATCACCAAAACTTTATTTTTAACTGGAACTTTGTACCTTTTGACCAACCTTCATCCATTTCATTCACCTGCCCCCTAACCCCCTGGTTCTGGCAACCACCAATTTGTTCTCTGTTTCTATAAGCTTAGGTTTTTGTTTTGTTTTGCTTCAATTTTTGTTGTTGTCGTTCTGATTCCACATGTAAGTGAGAACATATGGTATTTTGGTATTTGCCTTTTTCTGTTGGACTTATTTCATTTAGAAAATGCCCTCAGGGTCTATCCATGTTGTAGCAAATGGCATGATTTCCTCCTTTTTATAGCTGAGTAATACTCCATTGTGTTTGTGTTTATTCCACAACTTCCTTATCCATTCATCTATGGATGAACCCAGGTTGCTTCCATGTCTTGGCTTCATGACCTTATTTAATAGAGCTAAATTTTTTGCTCAAATCAAGAATCTGTCACAATCTGAAGGACAGCTATAGCATGAGAGATAACAGGATACTGTCCTGGAATTGTGTCATGGACCATCTTGTTCTCTTGCCCGTAGTGAGCTGGTGGCCTCAATTTCCATTCTCCCTCACCTGAAGGACTGCCCTTTTTCAATACCCATCTCTCAAGAAGCAGGGGAATGCACCTTTGAATCATGCAATCCCGATCGTTAGGTCTCAGAGAGCACAGAGAACTGCAGCGTGAGGTCAAATGGCCCAACCGAATCATCCCACCTGGTAACCTTAGCATCTTAAGAGATAGGAAAACCATAATTATTTAATAGCACCTAGAATCTTAAAAAGAGTTACAAAGGAGTGTCCTCACCCCACCAAAGTGCCATATTTCCTTGTGATCTACCTGAGAACGTGGATTCGCTTGCTACACTTTGCCTGGCGGGTGCTCACAGTCTTTCCCAACACCAGTGGAAGCCATCTCTCCCCCTACAGGGTGCGCATCCCTGAGCAGTGGTTACTTTTTCCTTGTCTTTCTCTTGGGTCTTTACACACAATGTTATTTAAATATTCGTTGACTAGAATAGATTCAAAATGATAATGCTAACCAAAATGTCTTCATACTTACTGTTTGTCAGACCCAGGGCCAAGAGCTCTACATGCATTATATTTAGCGAGCAGGTCACTGCCGCCTCATAGGGTAAATGGGAATATTACTACATATCTTGTGTCTGAAAAAAACCAGGCTGGGTCCGATGGCCCCTTGAGGTGAATTTCATCCCTGAAAGTTTAGTCCTCTGGAAACCTCCCCTCTCTGGCTTACTGAAGAAAAAGAAGTTTATCTTTTCTTCAGTCTTGTTAAAGGGAGAATATCTCCCATACTTTGCTTTTTGAGACACTGTTTTACCAACTTCACAGGCTACTGATGCATCAAACTCGCACACACCTGGGGGAGAGTTTCAGTGTACCTGCACAAGTGCACCGGGCCAACCTAAAACCATGTGCTAAGGTGAAGGGACTGGGAGAGGGACGCGGTGCAGCCTCCAGCCGGCTCTTCGCACTGGTGAAGGGTAGCCGCCTTCTTCTAGTCGTCCTGTTCTCTCACCAGTTCTTTCCAGGTTGACGGAAGCTCGGGGTCCTCCTTTTCAGTTCTTAGCCATTGTCTCAAAGCTGGGGTGTGTGCAGGTGGGGCTGAGGGAAGATGTTTGTGGAATTGTAAGTTTTCCAGATGTAGCAGAAGAGTTGGCTTTAAGTTATATCTTCCTTGGTCCTCCGTCCCTTGAAGAGATGAATAACAGAGATTATGCCAGCCCTGGGTATTAAACCTGGAATACAAAAAAAACTATCAGAAGGAAAATTAGTTTGAAAACCAGTCTCTGTGACCAGCCAACTTCAGGACACTGGGAAAATTACTTTCCCATTTTGAAAATAGTAATAATATTTCCTTGATTCTAAGTCAAACTTTTCTTTTGTCATCAAAATTTCTAAGGAGATTCAGTCTTATAAATTATAAGTGCTTTCAAGGTAGTGTTTTTCCTCTTTCCCTTTAACACTCCTAAAAATTATTGAATTGACTATCTTACCACCAAAAGAAAATCATCTTGGTACCAAAATATATTAATTTTTGCTTAATTTACAAGATAGTGAAAACTGAACGAGACTAAATTTGGTATTTTGAAAACTATCAAGACCTATATAAAGCACTTACTATTATTAAATTGGCTTCTCCATATTTACTGAGCATCTGCTATGTACCAGACTTTGTTCTCCATAGAAAGACCAGAGGATTGAAACAAAATTAAAAGTCCCTGCTCTGATGGATCTTTCCTTCTACTGGGAAAAGATTGAGAATATGCACACAAGTAAGGGAGATTTCAGAAAGTGATGAATACTATGAATAAAATAAGGTAACAAAGAAGTACTTAAGTAGGACCATTTTAGCTAAGAGAGTCAAGGAAAGCCTGTCTGAGCTGAAATTTGAATGTCAAAAAGTAACCAGCCCCATCTTAAAGGAAAAAGGATAGGAAAACATTTCCAACAAACAAAAGAACAAATGCCAAGGCCTTGGTACAAGCCTGTCCAGAGGAGAGACTGGTTGGAGCACAGTGGGCACGGAGGAAGAAGGGACAGAAAGGGAAACGAGCAAAGGCCAGTTTGCATACGGCCTCTTAGGCTATGGTAAGGTGCCTGGATTTGAATTTAACCAGCCCCAGCTTTTAACAAATTCAGGAACTAAAGCCCAAAGGTGACGTGACTTGTTCAAGGGCATGGAAACACTAAGGTTTCAGAAATTCGATCTCGTCACTTCCTGACAGTTGTTCTGCTTTACTGAGCTGCTTGGGAACAGCAGCTTTTGCGTGGGCCAGCTAAGGTCTTGGAGATGGAACCTGATACTCCGCTGCACTTTTTCAATTGCAATTCTTTTCCCCACAGTCTTTCTAATATGTTATTTTCCTCCTAGTAAAATGAATATATTCTCACCATGTAGCTATTTTATAAACAAAGGCAGAAACAGAAGTGATTCCAAACTCTGTAAGTTAACATAAGTTATTAAAATACTGAAATAGTCAAGAAGGAAATAAGACCTGGTGGGTGGCTCTGCAAACCAGCGCATCTGAGCTGTTCCACTGGGACGGTACAGCTGCACACTGAATCTAACAGGACCTGCTCCTGGATTTGGGGCAGGCATTGTCTCAAGAGTTGGGTCTGTTAAAGCCATCCATAGATGGTAGGGGCCTCTACCAGGCCCCTCTGTTAATATCTCGGAGAAAACTCACCAGGCCTGGGACCTGTGTCATAGAGGACACAGCCTTGGCATGATCAATGGGGTAACCAGTGTGATATGTGATGAGACCAAGTCTCTGGTATCATATTTTAATTTGAATCATTTTCCAATGCTCTGTTATTTCTCTTTTTATATAATATCAATATAACAGTACTTAACTCAAAAGGGTTATCATAATCAGGAAAAGTAGACAAGAGTGACTATCAAAGTATTGACTTCATAATGCCCCTTCCCTTCCCACAACATCTTCTAGAATCAAGGGCTCTTTGTCCCAGATCAACATTCTGTATATAATATGCTGGTCCAAAAACTATTTAATGAGCACCTATTGAATGCCTTGAATTGTACTACATGCACGCAAACAATTAATATTTAGGGAGTGTCTACTAAGCACCAATCATTGTACCAAGTATGATATACCAACAGTGAGACATAGTTTCTGTCCTAAAAAGCCAAACACTTAAAGGGACAATTTCAAATTAGAATATTATTTAGGATCCTATTACTTTCAAATGCCAGAATGTATTCTCTTGGGAGGAAGAGAGGAGACAGGGATGCAAACTGGAGTAACCAGAAGATTTCTTGGAAAAGGATAAGAGGAGAGAGGAGAGGGGGTGCTTGAGCTGGGCAGGATGAGGGTAAACCAAGAAGAGAGGTGGTGGCATTTCTGGCTGGGACAACAACAGTGTGGGCACAGGCGGAGTGCAGGTGTAGAAAGGCGGAGGATGGTGGGGAGATAACAGCCCTGCCCCTGCATGGATGAAGTGCCTTGTGAGGAAAAGGACTGTTTAAGGGACTGGAGGCAAAAAAGACTAGGGGAGGTCAGACACCTGGGTACCAACTCTGCTTTGTCCCTATGATGAGAAAGTGGTCTTGTTGCTACCAGGTTGAAAAGCCTGGGAAGACTGATACTTGTTTAATTGTCTCATTGTTCTTACATTTTTCAGAATGTTCATAAAAGCCCCAGATACAAAAGGGCAGTAATGTGGCAGAATCCTCTCTATCCTTTGTGTCTGTACTGAGGAGTCCCAGACAGCTGCGTGTCCTGTTTGGAACCAGGAATTCAGGAAGAATAGCCAACATTCCTTGCATCTTATTTGATTCACCTCTTCCGTCAGCATTGTGAGTTTTTGGCTCCTTATAATGCTGAGAAAGACTTCCTGCTAGTTCAGGCTGCAGTGTCTCTGCTAGGGGGTCCCCAGAGCCTCCTCTGCAAGCCCCTGTCAAAGCCCTCATCCCACTATATTGTGATTGCCTGTTGGGTCTGGCCCTCTAAGCCATTTGGTGATTACTGTTTCTGCCACAACCACTTTCTTGCTGTATGTATGACATTGGTGGGGTCATGTCACTTCTTTAAACCTCAGTTTTCCCAAGTCTGAAATGGGCCTAATAGTTCCTGCTGCATGGAGCTTTGTAATATTTACATGAATCAAAGTGTTTAGCACACTATCTTGCACAGTATCAATGTTTTTGTATAAATTAGTAAGTACTAAGGAGAGTTCTTTGGCTGCAGGCAACAGAAACAAGCCCTAACTTCAGAAACTATAGAATTGATTGGAAGGATTTCTGATAAGTTTTTAGAATAAAAGTTGAGTCTGAAGAACTAGACTGTAAAAGATAGTCCTCTGGGGCTCTGGTAGAAACTACAGGAAACTATCTGGGTTGGTGCCAACCCCTTGGTAAATCAAAGACTACGCAGCATCCTGGCAGCCCTCCCACCTCTCCACATGTGGAAGAGAGAGTTCTTCAGGAGAAAATCTGCATGTTATTGATAGAAGAGAGTCAAAAGAGCCTGAGTAACCACAAATAAATACATTGTATCAGTTAGAAATAAGTCAGATACAAATAAGACCCAATTACAGTGGTTTAAACAAGAAGTGCAGAGGGAAGCAGTCCATGGCTGGCGCACTGACCCCAGGATGCCCGCAGGGTCCCATGCTTTCTAGCCTTCCTCTCTGCCTCTTTCGCACACGGGTTTCTCAGCCCCACACCTTGTAGTCACATGTCTTATAGTCCCAGCATGGCTGCTCCACGTGCAGCAGGAAGAAGGAGAGTGGTCTCCTCTGATGTCCACTCCACCTCTTTGGATGAAACTGTAACACCTCACTTCTCCTAGCCACAGAGGAGCCTGGGGGGATTTTTTCAGTTTTTAAATATCCTTTGGTAGGTTTAAGCAAAGAAGGTAGGCATAGTTATCTATAGTGTCTGCTAACTGTCCACAGTTTAACGTTAATCTTAATAAACATTGACAGGAGGGAGGACATTCCAACTGGCCTGACCCTGAGGAATTTCTTGCCCTGACTCTTCCCTCCAAGGTGCTTATGAAAGTTGCAAAGGTATGGAAATCACTCCTTGGGGTCTGCAGAACCCTCTTCTGGCTCAGGAGAACCTGAGTCGCATTGGACACAGAGAATGAACTGGTTGACAGATGCTTTCCCAGAAGATGATTCTGGATAGTTCTCCATAGACAAAACTCCTTCTGCAGGGAAATGTCTCAGATGCCAGCACAACCCACTTCAATGGTCACACAGTAACAACAGAGGGAGAAAGAGAATATGTTACAATATGAACATGTCTTCCTAAGTGCCTGATTCCTTCTAAGTTCTCAATAAATGGAAGCTATTGTCTAAAGTCCTTCAGATCTACCTTTCTCAGCTTTCAATATTCAAAATCTAAAATCCAAGTAAGCCAGGTTCTTACACCGTTCCAGATAACAGCCCTCCACTGGGGCAGGGTCCCACGAGCAATCGCGGTGAAAGGTGCAGAGGAAGGAGTGAGGGGCTGGTCAGTCTCTGGGGACAGTTAGAAGTCCTCAGGTAAGAAAAATTGCCCCATTTCTTTCTCAACCCTCTTGCCACCCCTCCTCTAACCCCAAATACATTATTGTTCTTTCCAGTGAAACTATGTAAGCTTCAGACAGAAGCCTAGGCATAAACTGCCATGCTTTTTAATATTTTACAAAAGGGCTCAGTTTACCATCCATTTACTAGCCAGATTTTGTTGCATGTCAGCAATGTGTCACATGCTTTTGACGGGGGATTATATATATTATAATAAGTAAAACTGTGGTTAATGTTCAGAAAGTGCTCCTTGAGCCCCAGGCTCTGTGCTAGTGCTTTACATGAATGACCTTTCTTTTGGTTTTGTTTTGTTTTTTATATACAATACTATATTGGTTTCAAGTATATAACATAGTGATTTGCTAGTGACCTACATTATCAAATGCTCAACCTGAACCACTGTAATTACTCTCTATCAACATAGAAAGATGTTACAGATTTAATGGCTACATTCTCTATGCTGTATTTTCATCCCTGTGGCTAATTTATATACGATTGAGATTTTGTGCCTTTTTTATCCCCCTGGCCTATTTCACCCATCCACCCCTAACCCCTTCCCCATGGTAACCAGTCATTTCTCAGTGTCTATGAAGTCTATTGCTATTTTCTTTTGTTTGGTTTGTTTTATTTAGATTCCATATGTAAGTGAAATCATGTGGCATTTGTGTTTCTCTGCCTGAATTATTTCGCTTAGCGTGGATCTATGTGTGAATGATCTTTTTCACTCAAACACAAAAACTCTACCATGTAAAAAAAGGTGCTGCCACTTGGTTTTACATGGGGGAGGGAATTAAAGATGAGGCAAGCTATGAAGTATGTCAAATATTGTAGCTCCAGATGGTAAAGCTAAGAGTCAGATACTCTCTTAATCACTAAACATACTGCTATCAATTTTTCTCAGCAGCCCTGAGACTCACATTGTCTTAACCTCATGCCTGAGGAACCCAGGACTCGAGGAAGTTGGTAACTTGACTTGCCCAAGGCCAGCAGCAGAGCTATGAAATGGCAGAGCTGGGATCAAACTCAGGCCATTTGAATCTTGAATGCAAAGCTGGGCTATCCCACAAGAGGGAATATCTTTAGCGCATTAACTCCCTGCCTGTAGCTCCGCTATCCAGATTAATGTACAATGTATAGTATAGTAAAGTGCACAAACTAGCTCTCTGATATCAGGCAGGTTTCTTAGCTCTCTAAGCCTCAGCTTATTTACCCATAAAAACAGAAGTAGCACCTACTCTATGGGTTTGTTGGACGCTTTTGATATATTAACCATTCTAGAGTTACTGTTCAATAACTACTGTTATTTTTCTCAAGTGTCTTTGCATCTCATTCATTTTCTAACTCACTGTATAGCCTTAAGGAATCTCCCCCTCTTTCTGGGTCTCAGTTCCCCCATATGCAAAATAGGAGGAAGTTGTCTCAATGGTCTCCAAGTTCTAGATGTCATTCCTTGCTTCTCACAATTCAGTCAGGCGTCAAGTGAGGCCACACTGTCTTGAGTGGCACCTAAGGCAACCATAAGGGGTCCTGAAAATAAGCACCTGGCTAATGTGAGTGATGGAAGTGCCACCAGCCCCAAGTTCTTATGATTAGTGTGGCTGTCAGTGGCTGAGTGCTCGCTACATGCCAGTTGCTCTGCAGAGCATTACAGATATGTTATCATATGTAATTCAAGAATCTGCTCATCCTTTTCCTTTTCTCTCTTGCTGACATGGCAAAATATTATATTTTACCTAAAAATATATATTGCAACATGGGCAGACAGGTGTGATGAAGAATCACATTAGCTAAAATAGATCTTGCAGCTAATGTGGGTGATAAGTACGCACAGGCACACACTGCTCATGCATATACTGAGGGAGAGAAGCCAGTGTGATCACCTTGTCAGGACCATCCACCCACTTCATACCTGTCTACACTGTTGACCCAGAAGAGGAAGATCTAACATGTATTGGGTAACAACTAAATTCCAGGCACTGCTATATGCACTTCCCATGGGCAGCCTCATCTACTCTTCATGTAGCTGTATGCAGGTACTATTATTATCTTTATTTATAGGTAAATATATGAGGCTCAAAGAGATTAAGTAGTTTGTTCAGCTAGGAAGTAGGAACCCTACTTGGCAATCTAACTCCAGAGCCTTTATAGTATTAACCACCACTCTTTAAATTTTCTATAGTTTCTGAACTTAAGCCCCTTTTTAAGAGCGGGAGACCATGTCCAGCTCCCTGAATAGTGGATCTTCCCTGGTCCTGGGGAAGTGCACAGGGGTGGTGTCCTCAGCAGGAAACCTAGCCCCTCAGTCCTCAAATCTTTGGTGACAGAGCTACCAGGTGAGGCTGCCCCATGGATATTTTGACTTCCCATATGTCACCAGGCAGACGTTAACTGGACCACTAGTCAGAGATGACCTCCTAGTCCAGAGACATGGCCTCCTACAGCCTGCTCCAGCCCTTGCTGACCTCGGGTATGGGGAGAGATGAGCATACAGCCACTCAGCCTGCCTTCACTCCTTTCAGAACAAATATGAAAACACGAGGCTGGCAGGGTCATGCTCCACTCCTGTTACACTGTTGTGGGATCTGTGACCCCTGCAGGGAGCAGCCAGGCTGCAGCCTCGTCCAGCTTGTGACAGACACTCGTTCAATGATGCCTGGGTTTGTCCGCAGAAAGCAAAATGGGATGTATCAAGGCTTTGGTAATATTTCATTTGCAGTGGACCATCAGATGCTTAGGTATTTAGCATTTTGTGCAAAAGGAAAGGGTGGATTCATGTCATTACAAGCTTTCCACTTAGTGGATCTACTGTGGCTCTGGTGCCTCAATGGTTCTACAAAGCCCACTCACAACTCAGACAATAAAATGTGTTTGGGCCTGTAAAAGCCTGTATGCTGAGGTCTGCAGTAAGCACATGTCTCTCTCTCTGCTAGGGATGGTGAGCTGAGGACCGCGGGTGATATGCCTTCAAGTCGTGGCACCTGCCAGCCCCTCAGTCTCACTGCAGTACAATTGGCAACAGACTTCTCTGAGCACCAGCCTAATAACTTAGAAACTTGGAATCTGCAGACCAGCCTCCTCCAGTCTTTGATCTGACACAAGCTGCAAAGGCCTGAGCAAGGTGGCCTTCTGGGTCTCAGCCTTCTCTCTATAGGATGTGATGTCCAGACCAGATGGTATCTAAGATTCCTTCTTCTTCAGAATGCCACTTGGCAAATAAAACATTCTCAGCCATAAGCTGCTTTTGCTAATAGCCATTCATAGTATTAATTTTTGAGGCAAGGTAGCTGATCTATGAGGTTGTAGTCTCAAAGAGGACAGATTTGTTTTGTTCAAGATTCTATCTCCAGCATCTGACAGTACCTGGTAAAGAGTGGGTGTTTAATAAACATCAGATGTGTGGACAGGTCAATTTCTCTTCTGAATTAAATATGGCCTTCCATGGATACTCACGTGTTCACATGTAGCCAGCAGGGCTGAACTCATCCTCTGGTGTAGACTCCCTCACACAAAGCATGTCCACGCTGACTGCTGGTGACAAACTCCTGAAGCTAACACAGTGGATCCCCTTAGTCATCTGACTTTATGTTCCCCTCATTTCCTCTATCACTTACAGTCGACACATCTTTGCAGCAACAATGTCCTTTCCCATCTCTCAGAATGTTCCAAATCAGTTGTCTGGTTACCTAATATGCGCTAGGGTTTTCTCACAGGTCCTACAGGGAAAAAGTTTAGGACAATCTGGGCACTGACATCGGGAGTCTATGGCTCTTTGGGAAAAGAAAAGATGCTCTATTTTTCTCTGTCAATTGCAGTTCTTGCCCTGATATTCTTTTTTTTTCTACATCATGGAGTGTCCATTCCTTTCCCCAGAGCCGATTTCAAAGCTCTGTTCCACTCTCCCATTCTTTATCTCCCAAAATGCCTGACATTTTTTCATTTTCAGGGAACTTTGACCCTACTAGTTCTCACCCACACTTATGCCACCATCCTTTACCTTGGTGAATGTTTAATAGAGTGTTGTAGGGGACCCTGGAGTCAGGAGGGGCCTATTTGTTTCTCTAAGGTCACACAGCAAATCAATCCCAGGGCCAGTCTGGGAAATTGAATGCCCAGGCTTACTCGGTTAGTGTCTCCTGCCCACGAGAATATTTTTGGAAATCTTAGCATCTGTCTGAGGTGTTACCAAAGCAAAAAGATTTTTCTTATAAAAACAATGGTCTTTTTTCTAGAATTTTATCTCACACTTAAAAATGGCAAAGAACTTCTATAAAACATTTGAATCTGAACTTTCACTCTGTGAACAGGAATGTGCTTATTTTTAGTTATCGTATTAAACTCTTTTGCATATGATCTCATATCTTCACGCTTTCAAGGATTAGTGGAAACAGGTGTATTTTAGAGACTGACCAACAGATGTGGGCTTTGATCTTGGTTCTGTTACTCACCAGCAATGTAGCCTTGAGCAAGTTCACTGAACATTTTTTCATCAGCAGAATGTGGGTCCTTTATATAAAGAACTATTTTTCATGTGGTCACTGGGAAAATGGAGTGAGTGGGATTCATGGAAGGTAATGCTTAGCAGATAACAGGAGTTCAATAACTTACTGCCTAAATCAAGTTCAACAATTGGTTTCTGGCTGTGCATAAGGTCCTGTGGCAGGCTACAGAAAAAGCTGACCCTGCAGATGCATTCATTCCCAAAGCAAATATTTGATATGCATGTGCTTCCTCTCCTGTCCCCTTATTTCCAGTCTCAGCACATGTATCGCCACGGAGAGGACTTCCCTTCCACTGTATCTAAAATCAGCCCCTAGGCACTCTTCACTCTTCACCATGTCACACCTTGTACATTTCCTTCACGGTATAGCAATGTCTTGTTGGTTTAAGTGTATGTTGGCTGCTGCTTCATTTTCCCCATCTGTGAAATAGGAATAGTGATGACAAGGGTTCTCTGGGGTGGTTTAAGGATTCAATAAAATAATGTAAGGAAAGTGGTTGAGTCCACAGAGTTCAACAACTGTTGATTTATTTTCACATACAAAAGGGAAGTAGAATAAGCAGAGAAGAGAAAGTAACGTGAGCAGGGGGAAAGGGAGGGAAGGAAAGAGATTTGCAGGGAGGAGATGGCTTGTCTGTAACTGGAGGTGCCCATAGTTGAGGGCAGGAGATGGAGGGCAGCGGCCAGTGGCAGGTGCTCTACAGGAGCTGCTGGCCTGTGTGTCTGAGCTCCTTGCTGCTTCAGGAAAGAACAAAACGATGACAGCAGAGCCCTCTGCTCCCTGTCTGGGCTGTGGGCTTCCCGCTTAGAGCGCCGGGTGCAGCTCCTCGCCTCTGCTCCCTGGGAGGGGAGCCCCCTCGAGGCCTGCAGGGCAACAGTCGCCCCCCGGTTCCTTCTTTCCCTCCCTCTCACCGCTGTGAAGTGACCTCACCAGCGTCCCATTCCAGAATACCCAGAGTCAGTGGGCTGCATCATCCCCACCTTCGGAAGCTCTGATTCTGAGCTCACCAGCCAGAGGAAATCCATGGCTGCCACTTTGTTGTGGGGTCGCTGTTGTTTTCCATATAATTTTGTCATTGCTCTTAACAGCCTTTTTGAGGTAGAAGTGCCATACAATTTAGGCTGTGACGTATGTGTACACTGGGAAGCCACCACACAACCCACCTAATAAACACCCCCTCATCCCCAGATTTCCTCAGCCCCTCCTAGTCTCTCCCACCACCACCATTCCTGCCCCCAAAAGCTGTCTGCTTGGCTGCATCTTCTGTTCCCTTTTCACCTTCTTGTTTTCAGTAACTAGACAATCTGATGTTACCCCAGGGTTCCTTTTTTTCTGGGAGTGAGTCCTCATGGTATTCTTTTCCACATCCCCCAATGCCTGAGCAGCTTCTGGAAGGCAGCGGTGCCTCTCATTGTTCCCCACTCACATGGAAATGCTCCCGTGCTGACTGCCTGTCACCTTCGGTTTTCCTACGGAAGCGGAAGTAAGGCTCCCAGGAGCTGATTTGGGCACCAAGACGGAACAGAAATCGCGGCTTCATTCATTCAGCAGAAGGGAGGCTCTTCTGTAGGAGGCTTTGTGTGTGCGGGGGACGGCAGCACAGACAGGTTCCTTGCCTTGCAAAGCTTACAGCCTAGAAGGAGGAACTGAGCACTTCCAGGGGAAAGAAATAGTTTTTGAAGGAAAGCGAAAAGCATGCAGTGACAAAAAAACTGAGTTTGTTTTCCTTTGGAATATAAAGCGTAAGGAAAGTGCTGCCAGAATGGAAGCAGTTGATTGAAGTTTCCTTCTTACCTGAAAGTCTGGGGAAGCCTAGGGAGCCAGGTTCCAGGTTGGGTTCTCAGCAGATGCTAAGGACCTGAGACAGAAAAGAAACTGAGGCCTCAAGGGGCCAGCAGGCCAGCAGGGCTGGAGCATGAGAGAAACAGCAAGAGGCCTGGGAATGCAGCTGGAGGGACAGGCAGGGGCCAGATCGCAGAGTCCATGAGGGCCTTGGAAGGAGTTTGGGTTTTATTCTAAATGTAATGAGAGGCCATGGGAAAGGCTCAGTCAGAGAAGTGGTATAATTTGATTTGTTAAAGATTATGGTTTCTCATTAACTGGACATAAATGATGATAATGCTAATTTTCTGATTAAAACAATTACGAAGTAATTGTGAAAATACTAGTCATAATCTCTGTCCTATGGCACTTTGGCTCAGAGAAAAATAACAAATGGCTATTTTACATTGAAGCATGCTGTCTGCCAAGCACAACTCCGGGCATTTATCTATATTTCTCATTTACCTTTACAAAACATGTATTCCTATTTTGCAGATGAGAAAATTGGATGAGAAGTCAAATAATTTTCCCAAGCTTACCAAACTTTGAGACTAGCTTACTGAAGTAAATCAACAGCCAGGAGAAAGTCTCTTTCTTATCAAAAGTCACCTCAACTTTTTTCTTTTTAAACCTGTTTCCCAGCCTTTGTGGAGGCTAATGGCTTTTAGAAAGAAAAGTAGGTCATGCACTGAAAGGAAACAGTAGTGGAGAGAATCCTGGGGGTGTAGGACGGATGCTGGTGAGACTGCAGGCAAATGACAGAGTGCCACAAGGTCACCCAGCATGCCTGGAAGGTTATGTCCACCTGGTGAAGTAACGCAGGGGCGAGTCACAGAAATGAGACCATTCTGGCAACACAAAACATTTGGCAAAGAGGATCACACCTCAGCAACTACACAGACATAGATATATCTTCCAACACAAAAGACCTTGAAAAATTGAATGTAAAATTACCATGTGATGCAGCAATTCCACTCCTCAGTATACAGCCCCTAAAAATGAAAATAAGTATTAAAAAATATATATTTAAGGGAAAGGTCACAGCAGCATTAGGCACAGTCCTCAAAAGGTGAAAACAACCCACACATCCATCAAATGATGCACAGATAGGTAAAATGAGGCATGTGGAGACAATGGAAATTAGTCATTTTATGAGTTTGTGGTACACACTGCAGTGCAAATGAGCCTTGAAAATATGTTAAGTGAAAGAAACCAGACACAAAACATCACATATTGTGTGATTCCACTTCCATTAAATATCCAGAACAGACAAATCCATAGAGATAGAAAGGAGATGCATGGTGGCTGGGGGCTGGGAGCAGTGTGGACTAGCGAGTGACTTAATGGGTGCAGTTTTCCCCCTTGGCATGATGAAAATCTTGAAACTGGACAAAGGTGATGGTTGCAAAACTTTGTGATTGTACTAAATGGCACTGTTTGTACACTTAAAGATGACTGATTTTAAGTTCTGTAAGGGATGTATGTTTTACCTCAGAAAAACTCAGTGTAGTCATGGGTAACACCCAAGATCCCTAGCTGAGAAACCCTTAACAGCCCATAAAGAGAATCTCTAGGTAATCTTTACTTAATCCTTGTACATCTGTGAAACACCTACTATGTTAGGTATCAGCTTGAGCCCAATAATACCTGGTCTCTGCCTTCAAAGAGTTTATGGTCTAGTGGAGGAAACAGACATCAGTCAAGTAATCACAAGAGTATAAATTATGAATGTGATAAATGCTCTAAAGGAGAAAATGCCAGGAAAGGGTCAGAGAAGACTTCCCTGAGTAAGTGGCATTTGAATCTCCTGAAGGAATTTATTAGGGGCCGGGGAGGCAGTTTGAGGTGGAGAGGGAAAACGCTGAGGAAACAGCATGT